TGTGCACAGTCAATATTTAAAAAGGTTTGAGGTTTACTTTGGGAATGTCAAAGGCAATGTAATGGTTGTAATCTGCTTCTAAGCAAATGTAGCTTTTAGGGTGACAGGGGACATATAAGGTCACCCTATAGATTGGAAGGGAATAGGAGGGCACTTCAATATGTTTGTTCATCTATTAGCAAAGTTGTTTGACACATGTACATGGGTGATATGTCCTCCAAAAGTTGGGCTCTCACACTGACAATGCTATCTTCCCATATAATGAGGTAGGTGTGTGTGTGACCTTGATCAGAGGCTTATAGTAGAACTATGAACTCATAGATTAATGGCAAAATGTAACCCAAAGACCCTGACTCAGTGAGTGTTTTAAAAATAATTTTGTATTTGTTACCAAGATTTTAAAAATTGGGATTTTCACAGATAAATCCAGATTTCTGGTTACTTTTAAAAAAGTACAAGATCTAGCAATACAGTGAGCCTACCTTTGTCTTGACCATTGGTTCTCAAAATGTGGTCCCTGGTCCAGTAGCATCAGCATTACCTGGGAACTTGAAACTCTGGGGCTGGGACCAGCAGTCTGTGTTTTAATAAGCCCTCCAGGTGATGCTGATGGATATTTGCATTTGAGGACTATTCCTGTTGACTATAATCCCATAGAGCTCAATGGTGTTTGCCTCCCATCTAGGCTGTTCTAGTTACTAATGAGGTTATCTGGCCCTTATGGGCATTTGAGGATTTTTATTCTCTTTGTATGTGGATACAATGCCCTAGTATGAAAACATGAGATTTTTAAACTTCTAATTATTAATCTGAGGCCCCAAATGCTCGAGCTCATGCAGAGATCTTTAGGAACTCGAGCACCATCCCACAGGCATATCAGATCTGACTGTCCATCTTCTGTTAGCCGCTGCCCATGTGGCAGTATGAGAAAACCCAATTAGTACAAACAGATAAGGGCGTATAAAAGTCTTGGGAGGAAGAGAGCCCTGGTCAGAGTCCCTAATGCATATAACTAAAATGGTTAGATAAAGCTTTATGTAATTATATTGCGGGCGGGAAGGGAGTCACAGGGAATCTTGGTGTATTTAAGTGTGTGATTTTTAATGAACTTTTCAGAATGTCTGTATGGTTTCGCCAGTTTGTCAGACAGCCATCAATTACTCAGTCTCAACCTAAATACAGACAAGCTACCATTTCATTATCAGTGAACATCTACCGAAGCGGACTATATGTGGGTCAGCATTCTAAGTAACTGCCAAACGTCAGTCCCACACGGAGGTACCCTCAGCCTGCTGTTGACTCGCCAAACTGCTGTTCTTATTAGATGCAGATGTGTGTGCCTCTTAGATCTAAGGTTTGTTTGGTTTTTTATTTCCTTCTCTTTCAGACCCTAGAGGTAATGTTTAGCTTCCTGAAATAATTATGAAATAATATTAATTAGTGCTCATCAAATACCCATGTCTTCTATATTTCCCAGCTCTGGAGTATATACTAGTAAGTGAGGTCATATGGCTAATTCTTACCAATGGGATGTTCATAGGAGTGTTGGGCCATTGCTGGTCGGAGGTGGTTAAGAAAAGGCCCATCTTCACGCTGTCACCTTTCCTGCTTTGCATATTTGAGATGCTGGAATTGCAAAGTAGAAGCAGCCTAGGTTCTCGATTTGCCATCTGAAAGAGTACTGTGCAGGATAACTCGCTTCAGAAGCAGGCGTGAGCAAGCATCAAACCTTTGTTGTGTTCAAGGTTGCTATGGATAGCTTGTCCTATCTTGGAGAGCACAAACTGTCCTGACTTTGGTAAGATGGCTGGGCTGTCAATGTGAAAGAAGCAGCAGCTTGGAACTTACACATCTGCAGAGCTGGCCCTTGCATTCAGCAGCCCATTTGACAGTGTTTCTACCTTAGCACTGGCTGTTCCCTTTGCTTGGAGCATTCTTCCCCCAGGCTTCTTCTAACTCACTCATGTCCTTCATTTTGACTCAAATGTTTTCTCAGTGAATAAAATCCTGACCCACCTTTGAAAATTGCCATTTGTCCTTCAATCTCTGCATTCCTTCTTATTCTGCTTGATGCTTTCTTTTTCCCATCACATTTATCATTTAATATCGTTATTGTTGATTATCTGTGTCCTCTTGCTAGAATATAATCTATTCCAAAGCAGGGATCCTTGATCATTTTATTCCACTGACATATCCCATATACATCCATTGGCATATCTCTGGAAGAGTGCCTGGTACAAAGAAGGCCTTCAATTAATGCTGTTGAATAAATGAAGGACATTTCTAAAAATTGGGAGGCTTTCTCATATTTAGATGTCAAAGCTGTGGAGGGGACAATTGATGGAACGAGTTTTCCGTGGGGACTGAATGCTGGCTCAGAAGAGTTGGTTATATCCAGGGGGCCAGGTGAATGGAAATTCTGGGATAATGTCTGAGATACGGTTGATCTCAGCTGATCAGGGCACACTGCCACTGAGGTCCAGGTTCTAGGGCTACTTGTGTTGTCTCCCTCTGACCCCGGGCTGCAGTCTATCTCCCAAGACATGGAGCTAGTCACCAAGGATGAGCGTGTCAGATTGTGTCCCTGTGCATTTGTGGCCCTTCTCGGGAACAGCATGGCCGGCATCCCCATTTCAGAAGAAAGGCATATTCTGGGGTTTTCTATTCTCACACTTTTCACTTAGCAGGGCTCCTCCTACAGACTGCTCGTAAGCAGAGAAGAGGCTGAGAGGAAGGCTTGCCAAGGCAGAGTGTCCTCTCCGTGGCCTGCCTCTCACAGGCGGACGAGGCAGCCGAGTTAGAAGCCAAGAGAGCTCTCTGCCCCCGCCTGTGTGCAAAGCAGGGCTCGGTTTCCTTCTGCAGGAGCCCTCCCACCAGGCTCTCTGTTGACGCAGGCAGGCATGGGGCAACCCTTAGGCTCCACAAAGATAACCTAATAACAGCTTGGCCAGAGCGCCTCATCCTTCCCAGGCCCCACAAAGAGACTTGGATGGGGAAGCAACCGCTTACCACCAGCACAGCAGTTACCGCCACCCCCCACTCAGGATCTGTGACAAGCTGCCTGCGAGGTTGGTTGATAGGCCTTTTATTTAGCATTCTGTTAATTTGCTAAACACTGGTTTGGTCCACGTGACCGTAGAATATAAAAATGCAGTAGGTGGTTTATAGGAGACAAGTTGCAAGAGAACGTTCAGCGCTCTGGGCTGCACACACAATACCTACCCTCCGAAGGGCTGGATTTTCCCTCGGGCTATGGGGAAGTGAGGAAGCAAGGTTCCCCATCCTCTTTATGGCTCTCTTTGACCTGCGCCTCCCCTCCATGCTGAGTGGTGGGCGTACAACTGTTGCAAGTAGGTGGCACAGCTGTTTACTTTGACTGCCTCTGTACCTCGGGGATCCCAGCCACGCAGTTAACATGGCAGGATGAAAATGGCATTTATGCTTTAATAAACTCACCCTATTTCTTTGTTAGAGGGGAAAAAAAGGAGGGGGGATCCCACCCACCACATTGCTAGCTGCATGTCACTGCTCACAGCACACCACAGTGGCTAATGTTTTCCAAATTCTCCCTTGCGTTGGAAATGGAAACCATTAGAAAAATATTGGGATGGTATGAAGATTTCCCAAACACCTGCCTCCCACCTCCTATGCCTGGTTTTTGCAAAGCATGGAGCATATTTTTTTGCAGTTTGGTGCATTTTCATTTAGAAGCGCATGTATATTTTATAAGTGTATGGGTACATACTTCTTGGTGATTTAGTTGTAAATGTCCTACGTGCAGGGAAGCCACACAAAGGTCGCAGAGCTGGAGATGGAATTAAATAGCATTTCCTAATAGGAATTAATAAGGTGGGCATCAGAAACATATAGGCAAAGGGGGGGAAATGCATTTTTCAACCAGGAAGTTATTGAGTGTTTGTAATCAAGTTGCTGCTCCTATAGAGGAGGCGGTCTGCCCTCGTCTTCCCTGTCACATAAATCTCTGCAGGCTCTCAAAGTTGTCACTGTGAAGGGCTAAATCTTTCAGGCTTTGCTCCTTTTTGTCCTGCAAAAACAACACAGTCCCACATCCTTGCTAGCACACCTGTTTCTCCCTCCTCCTTGCCGGGTAGTATCTAGCAACACATATTTCACAGGTTCACCTGGGTAACACATTTGCTGATTTGACTTGAAATCTCCATAACTATGATGGACTTCTTTGCCTGACTCGGAAATCAGCTGCCTTTCAACCCCCATCTAGAGCACCTCTAAATCAAAGCAAATAGCAACATCGACTTCTTGCTACTGTTGTCATTATATTATTTTTATTAA